AAGGGAAGGTTGTCTGAAAAAAAGCATAAATTCGTCGCAACATCCGCCCAAGTTGGATGGACTGTCGTCGAGCGAGAACTGCTAAATGAAGTGTTTCTGCAAACGAAGAACACTTTCAGCATTGCAGACGTAACTGCGACTGGTTTTTCGGGCAGATATTGCTGAAGCACTTTTGCCCTTTTAATTTTCTCGAAGGATGGAAGTGAATTTGGGCGTTTCTGGCCGTTTGGTCACGCTTGACTGCAACACAAGAGGCCAGATGAAGCGATGACATTCGACAGCCGAGATGACTGAACGCAGACTCGAGGCGAGCAATGACACTTTTGCTGCGAGAGGTTGGACACTGTCACTTCTCGACAGAAAGTGGTACATTCCGAAGTGGTGCTTAGCGGAGCGAGACGGGCCAGTTGATGAGATGAAGTAAGCGAAAAAAGAAAAAAAGGGAAAAAGATGAGCATCAGCGACGTGAAAGGAGGATAGACGTCGACTCTTACGTGAACGACGAGACGTCGGTTGGATGGAATTGGTAGATCGGGCCCATCGGAGATGGGAAGATTGCTTTCAAAGTGGAAACCGTCGGAGGCTGGTTTGCGGTGGCGCAAATCCGATGGAGCTGTGCCGAACTCGCCGAGACAGACATGGCCACATGCAGCAAGCAGTAGCAACACACGAAAGCGACAGAAACGCTGGCCAGTTACGAGCTTTTCACTTTTCATACCAAATCTCGTCTCGTCTGCTTTGGACGGCCACAAGCCTCGTTCCATTTGGAAGTTTCGAAGCATGTTGTGCCATCTTGTGTTGTGTGTGTGTGTGTGTGTGTGTTTGCATCAATCTACTGCCCTCCTTGGGTCCTCCGTAGTTAGGTCTGACACGTGGCCGGATCAGAGACCATTCAAGACGGAGCATGTTCCGCAACGATTTCCGCGAAATCATGTGACACGCCCACAAGATTAACAACTTTGTTTTTGTAGATGACGACGAATTGTATGTAGAAGGGATCAAAAT